AGGGGGGTGATGGGCAGCACCAACCCCATCCCACTGTGGCACCAGAGCACGTGGCAGCACGGGACAGCATATCCCAGGTGCTGGATCTCCAAAATCAGGCACTGGTGCCCAAGCTGGAGGCTCCAAAGTGGCTTGTGGGCAGGTGGGGAAACCGAAGCAGGAGGTGAAGCCCTTTGCTGAAGGGGCTCCCTCTGCCACCTGTACCAAGGTGAGACCCCAAGCCAGCTGCTGTGGGGAGACAGGGAAGCTCTTTCCCAAAGGGCTGTTGCCACCACACTGATAGGGCCACCTTGGGACACATGGGGAGCCCTCCCCAGGGGTGAGCCCTGGCCTCCAGCAGCCCCAGCACAGGGTGGATTATCCCGAGCTCTGGACGGAGCGGGGACCCAGGCATGGGCAGATTAAGTGACTGATGGGAAGGGTCAGGGAGCAGGTCAGGACCTGAGCCAGGAGCTGTGTCCTAAGCCCCTAATCCAGCTGCCCCAGGAGTGAGCCCAGAGGAGAGCAGGGGGTTCCCCTGTCCCCAAACCGCCCCTCCTCCTGGCCCCCGATTGCGGCATGTCCGGCCGGGCCCTGGGACCAGCTGCCATTTCTCCTGTGGTTTGGGCCAGAAATAGGGCGATGGAGCAATGCTGCCCTTGCCCAACACTGCGATGGGGGCTGGGGGCTCTGCTGACAAAGGCCCCGCTCCCTGTGACACTCTTTTCTTTTTTTTTCTTTCTTTTAAATAAACCCTCATCCCTGTTAGTTCAGCTGTGCCGAGCGGGGAGGCGGCCGCCGCCTCCGCAGCCCTTGAGTCAGCCCGGGGGGCCGGGGCGTGGGGGGAACACAGCTCTGGGAAGTGGGGGCACAGGGGAAAGGGGGCTCTGGGGGAACACGAGCAGGCGATGCCTGGGCTGGGGGGAGCCAGCCCAGCCCCCAAGACAAGAGGTGCTGGGGGCACAGTCCAGCTGGGTGAAGGCGCTGGCTGGGTACCAGGGGCAGGAAGCTCATGTCCCCTGTCCCCCACCTCATTAATTATCCAGGGTCTTGTTGTGAGAAACAGTTTCAGGGGTTGCCTTGAATGCTGGGACCAGCACCTGGGAGCACCCGGGCGTCTGGCTGGGGGAGGCACTCGGCGGCTAAGCCGCTCTCGCCGAGAAGTCCCTGACCTCCGGCCAGGGATCTGGTAGGATTACAGCTCCGGGAATGCTCCCTGAGCACTATGAGCCAATTACTGGGCTGGATCCCCGGCTGGGAGCACCCTTTGGCAGGTTGGGCCGTGGTGCAGAGCGAGAGGGGCAATGACTGTGCCAGAGTGGAGGGGGGACACAGCTCTTTTCCTGGGAGAGGTCCACCAGCAACACCCTCACTGCCCCCAGAGCCCTGTCCTGCCTGGGTCCCCTCCTCACCCCCGTTATCTGCCACTGGCCCGGCCAGGCACTGCAATCACCTCCCCGGCACAGCAGTGCCCGGCCGGGGGCCCCTGGCCCCCAGGGCACTCCCCGTTATCTGTGAGCCAACCCTCTCCGGGGTGGGGGACAGTGGCCCCCGGCTGTGACAACGGTCAGGTTCCCCTTCTCAGCACAGGGGCCCCCTCACCCTCCCTGGGGGAGGCTCATCCGCTCGGCTGGCTAATGCAATAAAGCTCTAATCAATATTTTAAAGAAAGTAAATGGACCCTCCCACCCTTGTTAAGAGGCCATGGGGCCCCCACTCCGGCTGCACACCCCTGGTTGGCTTTGGGTTTTGGAAAGGAAAACAGTCCATGGGAGAAAGGGGTTCAGAGGGGATCCCCACGCCTTAGCCAGCAGCTGGGGCTTCAGAGGAGATATGGGCTCTCTGCCTTTCCAGACCCTCCTGGAAAATCCCAGCTGCATCAGCCACATGCACGAGCTGGTCCGGGTGTGTGGGGTCCAGAATCATCCCCCCACCCCGTGGCCCCGCTGAGATTACCGAGCTGCCTTCGGTTTATTTTCCCCCAACTGCTGCACTTTGAAACTCCATATCTGGGGTGCGCTGCGTGAGATAAGGGCTGAGGTTTTCACCCCCATGTGCCACCGACACTGCTCAGACACCCTGGTTGGGACAGTGTAAGAAACCTCCCACCCCCACAAAGCACTGGCACCCCCTGGCCAGCACAGCCTCCCCCCGGCACCGCTGCAGCTTCTTAAAGCCTTCCTGAAGCAGAAACGTGGGATTAAACATCAGCCTGAGGCCCCACAACAGGGCACCCCAAAGGGAGTCCCCAAAATGGAGAACCCAAAGGGTGTCTAGTGGCTGCTGCAGCCGGGGCAGCACCAGGAGATGGATCCACCCAGCTGCCCTGAAGAGGGATGGGGTACCAGGGTGCCTGAGGAGCACCAGCAGCACAGGAAACTCCAAAAGGGGCAGAGGCCGGGAACTCCAGCTCCAGGCACTGCCACTGTGCCAGGGTCTCCCACTCCTTCTGTAAGTGGAGTGCAGGAGTAGCAGTAATGAAACAGAAAGGTTGTTCTCGGGGGCAGCAGCAGAGTCCCCCCAGCACCGGAGTGCAGAACCCAGAGCAGTTTTGTCTCCAGCAGCTCCTTGCCAATGGCAGGAACTCGCTGGATTTTTAGCCATTTCGCCGGGGGAGCCTCCTCCCACCCCAAAAATGTTCCTTTTCCCCCTGAGAAGCCGTGGTGCCCTCGGCAGCCGCTGCCCCCGAGCCCTGCACTGTGCTGGGGGCTCCTTTGTTCTGCTGCCCGCGCCGGCAGCGCCTGGGTCAGGCCGAGCTGACCTCTGCCTGCGCAGTAGCCGTCCCCGGGGACGGGGAGGTGCCACGCGCCGGCTCCCTAACCTCCCTCACCTCCATAACTCTTCCTCACGCCCTCCCCTTCCTCCTCCCTTGAACTGGGCCCCCTCCTCCCTCCGGTCCCCCACGGCTCAGCGGCTCAGCCGTTCGCAGGAATCTGTCCCAGATGGGTCAATAAACCCCGGTGGTGTCAGAGGTGGGCAGCCCCCGGCAGGCACGGGGCACCCGGGGTTTGGGTGTGGGGATGGGCGTGGGGGCTCGGACGGCGGCACTGCCCGGTGAGGACGGTGTCCTCGAGCACAGAGACCCACAGGCCAAGGATGCCCGGGGGGGACCCGATGCCAGCACAACCAGAGCTGAACCTGAATGGCAGCTGCGGGGAGAGCTGGAGAGCTGCGAAGGCATCAGGGCTGCTGGGAGAGCAGAGGTGCTGCCAGTGCTGTGCAGCTCTTTGACAAAAAGAAAGAGGAACCCCAAAGCAGCCCATTCCTCACGCAGCAGGCAGGCACAGCACTGGCACAGCCACACGCAGCACCACATCCAGACTGGCTCACCCATGCAGGGACCCAGCCGTGCTCCAGCACCCCGGGGCTGCCTGGGTTCCCCCTAAGGCGCCTCCGCCCTGGCGAGGGGCAGGGACTGGGGTACGGCATCCCCTGCCCTCGCTGTTTACATTCCTGCTGCTCCTTCCCAGGCCGCGCCAGCTGGGCTGGGATGGAGCCCGGCAGCACGCGCTGGAGGGCGGCCAGGAGGAGCTCCCGGCCAGCGCCGCGCCAGCAACCCCCTGGCCCGGGTCCAGCGGCCGCGATCCAAGCGCCGTGCGCGGGCTGACGTGCTGGGGAAGCCTCTCCCGGCCCCGCGTCGCCGCCGCTCCTCCGCCCACGGTCGCTTTCCAACCCCCTCCAGCTGCTTCCACAATTAACTGACCTGGTGGGCTCTTCCCACTGACCCCGGGAAGTGAAATGGAGGCAGAGGGGGTGCTCAGCCCCTCTTGCTGGCACAGTCTGGGCTGCAGGGGATGTGCTGGGACATGGGCTGGTGTCCCCACGCGCTGTGGCTGCGGCGGGGGACGCGGTAGGGGCTATGGCCTGGTCCACAGCACCAACATGCTGACAAACAGGAAGATCACAGCTGCGGTATCAAAAACCCCTTTCACAGCTACGAGCTCACGGTCCCGGCCCCTGAGTCCCCGGCAGCAGGAAGCACAAGAGAGAGAAACCACAAGAGGAGGAGGCGGCGTGGGTGCAGCGGCACAAGGGACATGTGGGGCAGGAGCATCCCTCCTTCCCACAGCTGGGCAGGACAGACACACACTCTGTGCTTGATGGTACTGCCTCCATCAACCCTGTTCTGAGCCTGCCTGCATCCAGATGTGCCAGCAAATCCTGGCAGTCCCTTCCCCCATATTGGGAGGGATGTGACAGCCCCCCAAAGGGGAAGGGGCAGGGGCAGTCGCATCCCTCCCGAAAGGCCACCGTGCCCTGGTCGCTCCATCTGGGTCCCATCTGCTGCTGCTGGTCCCGCCCCTTCCCCCAGCCCCAAACTCCGATGTATTTAAACACACATCAAAGGTGCCGGGCGGCCCCTGGGGAGCCCTGGCTCCAGCACATTTCCTTCTATTAGCCAGTGCAGAACGCAGCCAGCTCCAGTGCCGGGAGAGCAGGAGCGTGCCGGCCTCCTGCCAGCCCGGGGAAGGCAACGGCGGAGGCAGCCGGGTGCTTTCTCCCTGGTTTCACTCTTTAGCAGCATTTTGGCAGCAGCAGGGGAGCAGCTCTGCCCCCCACCGAGGATCTGGGGGGCCAGACTCGTTCTGCTGGACATCACCTCTGCGGTGATGGGAGATGGTCAGGTCCCCACAGAAAATGGCATGGAGGGGACAAGAGGAAAACCAAGAGCCCCATGAGATTTGGAAGTCTGGGGTGCTTTTTTTGTAATTTTCAGCAAGAACCCTCCCAGGTCCCTGCAGCAAACCCCATCGCACCGTCCACCTGCGCCAGGATCACCAGGATCTACTCAGAGCCACCCGATCAGGGAAGGGGGACTGAGGCTGAACCCAGCACTAAAACCCTGGAGAAATCCCACACTTTCCTAGTGACAACAGCAGCTGGATCCACGGAGAACGTTACCACAGGTGGCACTGCCAGAGCTGTCTCCCCACGCTCCCGAGGACGCACGGACGCACAGGAGCGGGACAGAGGGACAGGGGCGGCACAGGGGGGACACGCGTGTCTCTGCGGGCACCCACCTGCTTGAACTGCTCCTCGTAGGTCCAGTCGCCGTGGTCGGGTGCCGGTGGCGGGGGCTGCGTGTGGCCCAGGCCAGGGGGCAGCCGTTCCTGCCCCCCCGGGAGCCGTGGAGGCTCCCCCCGGTAGTGCTGGGGCGCCGGGGGCTTGCGGAGCAGCAGGGATCCCGCGCCCGCCCGCACCGCCCCTGCCGAGCTGAGCCCTTCCTCTCCCATGTCTTCATCCTCCTCATAGTCTTCCTCTTCCTCCTCCTCTTCTTCCTCTTCCTCCTCAACCAGGTCCTCTTCAAAGTCATCTTCATCCCACTTGCCCTTCCTGGTGCCGGGGAGAAAGGAGAGGCTTTGTCCCACACTGGTTCCAAAAGTCCACGCCTCTCTCCTGCCTGCCCTGCGGGCACTGCCCAGCCATGGGGCTGGGACCACCCACCCAGCACACAGCCGAGCCCTGGTGCAGCCCGTCAGCAGGGGCAGCTCCGTGGGGCACAGCTGACCCCTGGCAGCCCAAGAGCAGCTCCGTCATGGAGCAGGGCTCTGCCAGATGGCTCCTGGCCCAGCAGTGCCCCAGGAGGATGTGGGCTGGAGGCAGCCAAGGGTCCTGCATAATTTAACACCAGCTCGGGTCCTCTGTCATGGCCCCACGTGGCTGCTGGGCAGAGATGAGATGTCGCCCCACGCCAGCCCAGCACGAGGAATCACGGCTGCAGAGCTGAGCCGCTGCTCTCAGCAGCTCCTGCTCCAGAATATCCTGACAGTTCTAATCCACAACTGGCCCCAAGCCACAGGATCCCTGCAAGCACCCCTACAGCCTCTCCTGCCACTCCCCAGCCCCAAAGGTGGCCGGTGTCCCCAGTCAGCCGTGCCACGTCCCTGCCCCTTCCCCAAATCCACGAGAACTGCCCAAGTACACTCACAGGTCTTCCTCCTCCTCAGAGCCCATCTCCTGCTGGTATCCGCCGTCCTCCTCGTCCTCTCCGCGCTCCTCCTCTTCCTCCTCCTCCTCCTCAGAGGGCTGGCTCTCGTCCGAGAGCCCCGGGCTGGGCGAGTGGCTGAGGCCGGCGGCGGCCGCGCGCATGGCGGCCAGGGCGGCCATCTGTGCCCGCTGGATGTGCGCGCTCTCGGGCTCCGCTCCCTCCTCCGAGGGCGCCGGGGCCGGGTCCTGCCCACGGCCCCGGGCTGCGGTGCCGGCGGGGGGCTGCCCCGGGGGCTGTGCCGGGGGAGACGAGGAGCGCGGCTGCTGCTGCTGCTGCTCCTGCTGCCGCGCCTCCAGCGCCTGCTGCAGCCGCGCGCGCTGCTGCCGCTGCAGGTTCTCCATCACCGCCTGCAGCTTCATGGCTCTGCCGGCGGGCGGGGGGTCCCCGGGGGGGCGAGGGGCGACGCACCCGGGGGGCAGCGCCCGGGGGGCAGCGCCCGGCAGGCTGCCGCGCTCCAGCGGGGCTGGGGGCCAAGGCTGGACAGCGCTGGGAGAGGCAGCCCTGGGGGGGGCTGCCAGGGGGTCGAGAGCAGCGTCGTCGGGGTGTCAGGGCAGGAATCAACGCCGGGTCAGGACAGGAGGACGTGCCCCTTGACCCCTCCCAGCCTTTGCTCAATGTCTCCTCCACTCAAGGGCTCCAGCAGGAGTTGAAGGCTGGGGGCTGCTTGTCGGGATCGGAGTGCTGCCGAAACTCCTCCTCAGGCTCAGCAAGCAGCAACTGCAGTCTGGTGCATCACCCCTTCCCTCTCAGACCTGGCACCTTCTGGGGAGCAGCAGCCTCAGGGTCCCCCACTCGTGGCTGGTGTCCCTAATTCTCAGCCAGGTCAACGCTGAGCAGGCGTTGGTGCAAACCTGCAGGAGAAATGGAGCAGAGCGTCAGCGGAGCCGTGGGCAGGAGCCAGTGAGCAGGAAGGAGTTAAAGACAGTGCAGGAGCCTCATTAATCTCGAGCTAATGAGATAGGGCGGCAGGGCCTGCTGCTGGAGGGGGAAGGGGCCTGCTGGACCCCGATAGCCTGCCTGGCCCTGCAGGCAGTGGATACCGGCAGACCCGTGCCCGCAGATAAGAGACCCCAGGGAGAGCCACCCATTGGGTCCCCCACAGGGGACAAGGCATGTCCCCATCGGGGACACACTGCACCGGGAGCACTGGGCCCTTCGTGATGGCACCGGGGCGTGGGCAGGGTCTGCACTGCACAGTGAAGGGGCTCCAAAGCACAGGGGAGCTGCAGGACCCCAGGGCCAATCCCATGGGATGGGCAGGCAGAGCCTCACCCTTGAAACCCCAGCAAACCACCCCTTTCAGTCGCTCCCAGAACCCCCTACTGCTCCCCCTCACAGGACTCAGGGTCCTCCAGAGCAACATGGGCCTGTGAGCAGCTCATCTCTGCTTCACCCCACTGGAAAACACCAGAGGAACCAGCACCTTACAGCCTGTGGCACCCCACACCCCAGCACCCTGGCCTGGCCACCCCCTCAGCACTGGGCCCCCCAAGCCCCAGTGCCACCAGCAGCCCCCTCAGCCGGCCGGGGCTCTGCTGTGACCTCGCCTGTGCCGAGGGCAGGGAGGGAGCTCACCACACCACTGCGTTTGTGCCGTGTATGGGCAAAGGCGCCTGAATCAGTTGCCCAGGGGCCAGTGGAGCACGCACACCCCGGGAACCTCGCGGGGACCGGACCCAGGGGCTGCGGAGCCAGGACAGCAGCAGCGCACAGGGGCCAGCGGCCACGATCCCGCGCATTCTGGAAAGGGGAACCCGCTCCCAGCGCGGGCCGGGGCCGCGGCCGATCGGGCGGGAGCCGCTTCCCCCGCTGCGGCAGCGGCCGCATCCGCTCCCGGCCCGGCCGCGCTCGGCTCCCGCGACGGACGGACGGACGGACACGCTGCCACCGCCGCGGCACCTCCGCGGCCACCGCCGCCACCAGGAGAGAGCACCGGGGAGGCACTGCCCAGGCTCTGCCCGTGCCTCAGTTTCCCCTCCTCTACCCAGGCCATCTCCGTCTGAGCCACACGGAGGGGAGGCTGGGGCAGGGACCCTCCCTGCCCTGGGGCAGCCGCCGCTCACCCGCCGTGGCCGCACTCCCGCCCTGCCCCGCACCCGAGCCCAGAATCCTGCACCGGCCACGAGCGAAACGAGGCAAGACCCGTCCCGGGCACGTGCTCCCCGACCAGCCGCGACTCCCGAGCGACTCGGTGCCAGCGCCAGGGTGCGGAGCTGCCTCTCGAGCCCCGCGGGCCGCGGCCACGCTGCCACGTCTCCGCGGGGAAGCCGGAGCGGCGAGGCAACAGCCAGGGCCCCGTGGCACCCCGGTGACCTTGAGCCGTGCCCCTTTGTCCCTCCGGCCGCTCCGGGCCAGGGGACCCGGTGCGTGCCCGCCGTGGGGCGGTGACGGGGGTTCCGCGGGGGATTCGGGGCGGCGGCACCCGCGTCCCCGGGGCAGGTGCTCGGGAGCGACAGCGGCTAAAAATAGGCGGCGGCGGGTGGGGGTGTGACGGACGGGCCTTTGTGCCACCAACACCGAGGTTGGCCGCGGCCGGACACCCCCGGGCGGGATCCCGGCACCACCGGGGAGGGGCCCCGGGGGCGGCGCGGAGGCTGAGGGAGGAGGAGGGGGACGGGGAGCCCGGGCCCGAGGGGTTGCGTCCCCGGGGACAAACGGGGCTGGAGGCACCGCGGGAGGGACCCCCGGGCGGGCAGGGGACACGTCCCGGGGCTGAGCCCAGCCCCGCTCCCGACAGCACGTGGCACCGGTGGCCCCCAGACGAACCGGGCACGGGGGCGGCGGGGCCCGGGGGGGCCCCGGCCCCGCGAACCGGGGGGGAAACCGCCGCCGCAGGTCGGGGAGAGGAGCCCGGGCTGGTCCGGCTCCTCCGCCGGTCGGACCCCGGGAGGCCGCGGGCCCGGGGCGGTCACAGGGCGGGGCCGGGGGGCTCTGTCCAGCCCGGACGGCAGCGCCTGCGGGGGAACGAGAGTCCGGGCCGGCTGCGGAGCGGCCGGGGAGGAAAGAACTCCGGCCCAGCGCCGGGGAGGCGGCCGGTAACCGGCCGCGGGGAGAAGGGGCGCGCCGCTCCCGCCCAGCACTGGCCGCAGAGGGCCCAGCTCGCCTCGGGGAGGCGGCCGGTCCCCGGCCCCGGTCCCGGTCCCGCCCAGCCCCCGACCCCCGGCGGTGCCGGCCGCGGCGGGGATCCCGGTCGCGGTCCCGTGTCCGCTTACCCGGTGCAGGCCGTGCGCCGCGAAGCCGCATCGCAGCCGCGGCCGCCCGGGTCGGGCTCGGGCTCGGCGGGGCCGGTGCGCGCGGGGCCCGCGGCGCTGCTCTGCCCCCGGCCCCGCCCCCGGCCCCGCCCCGCGCCGCCATTGGCCCGCCGCGCCCCGCGCGCCCCGCCCCGCGCCGCCATTGGGCGGCCGCCGCCGCCGCTTGCAAATGTGGCGCGGGGCCCGGGCGGGGGCGCGGCCGCAGCGCCGCCTGGCGGCCGGGCGGGGAACGGCGGCGGGCGGTTCCCGGGGGTTCCCGGGGGTTCCCGGGGCCTCGGTGGTGCCAACGGGGGGTACACTGGAGGGGCTAACGAGGATTGAGCGGGGTTTAACGGAGGCTGACGGGGGGTTCATGGGGGCTTCTAAGGGGAGGTAGCGGGGTTTAACGTGGGGCTATCGGCGGTTATCCGGGGTTAACGGAGCCCGGCAGCCGCCGAGCCCCGGTTACACGGGCTCCCGCCATGCCCCCCGTGCCCCCGCCCCCCGCGGCTCCCCAGGCGGGGCTCCCGCGGTCCCGCCCCCGTGGCGTCACTTCCCGCAGGCGGTGCCGGGCCCGGTGCCGCCGGTGCGGGCCCCGGGAGGCGGAGGCGGAGGGAGGTCCCGGTGCCGGTGCCGGGCCCGGGCCGAGCGGGCCATGGTGGTGCTGCGGGGCGGCGCGGGCCCCGAGGAGCCGTTCCCGTGAGTGCGGGCCGGGGCCGTGGGGCGGCGGGGCCGGGAGGGGCCGCCCGGAGCCCCCCGAGGCTGTCGGTGCGTTCGGGCGGCGGCGCCTCCCGGGACAGCCCGTCCCCAGCGCCCCCGCCCCGGGCGGCCGGGTCAGAGCGCAGCCCGGGACAGCCGTAATGAGCTAATTACTGTTCACCCCGCCGAGGTCACGGTGCTCCCGGTCACCGGGGCCGGGGAGCACGGCCGGGGTCCCCGCGCCTGGCCGGGGGTCCGGGGAGCCTGCGGGAAGGGGCTGTCGGTGGGTGTCCCGCGGTGGCTTTTGCTCTGTGTGTTGCTGCCGTGTCCTGCTGCTAAAGGATGAATAACAGGAACAGGTTGGAAACCCCCCAGCAGGGAACGAGGGGCTGCGCATTCCCTGCCTGGACGTGGGAAGTGGAGGAGAAGCCACGCAAAACTGTCCGCTCCGGTGGCCCTGGAGCTGCCGGGCCCGTGTTCCTGAGGTCAGGGATGGCTCTGTCCCCAGGGAACGAGCTGTGCTGGGATCCCTGCCCTGGGATCCCCCCTCGGCCTGGCTGAGCTGTCCGGGACGGGGCCCTGGTGCCGAGGTCACCGGAGCTCATCCGACAACGTCCTGAGGTCACTGTCCCCTGCGAGCCTCCCGGTCGGTGCTGGGCAGAGGCGGCAGTGCCAGGGCAGACGTGCCAGGGCAGACGTGGCAGTGCTGGATGCCAGGGCAGCCAGGAGCGGCCCTGGAGCCTTTGGGAACAGAAAGTCATGTGTGGCTCAGCCCATTCCGCTCCCAGCCACAGGGTTCGGGGGTCCCGGCAGCCCTGGGATGCTCCTGCCTTGCTGACACTAATTTTTATCATCTTTTCCCCTCCAATGGAGGAGGAGGACAACAAGCCCCCCTCACTCTGCTGCCCTGCCCTGTGAGAGGTGGATTAATGTTGGCAGTGCCGTGCCTGGACTCCCCTCTTTGGGGGGCTCTTTCCAGGGCCGTGCCCGTGAGCCGTGACGGCTCCAGGGAGTGCCTGGCTCGCAGCTGTGCACTCAGACCTGAGCTGGGGCCGGCGTAAGGTGACTCCCTCTGTTTATGCTTTTTTTTTTTAACCACCTTTGTATCAAAACTCGATCTGCCAGCCCTGGTCTCTCGCTGTGGCAGGTTGGGTTACCGTTCCCCACCCGTCCCTTGGGTGTCGCTGGGATATCTGTGGCCCTTTTATTCCTTCCAAGCCCACCTCTGCCATGGTTTTCTCTCCAGCTGGAAGTGGGTGGTTGTTTTTTTACCCCCCTCCCAGCACATGTCACTGCCCCCATCCAGGGGAAGGGAAAAAAAAAATCAAGGTTTTGGCATGGGTGAGCAGCTGGCTGCTGGCCCAGGCACAATCAGGCGGCACAACCTGCTCTGCCCTGAGCCCAGGGCGGCTCTGCCAAGGTCTGATTGC